CCATGTTGTTGATTCATTTTATATATATGAATATTTCTGCTGAATATATGAAGAAACCCAACAGAAAGCATTTTTGTGCCAAATAACAAGCACTGGGAACCACAGACTTGGTTAATGAAAATAGGAGCAAATACCCTGACTTTGAACATCTGATGATCTGACCTTCTGCATACTCAGATCAAATGAGACCTCATACTGATTTCACACCACTAGACATCAGTGGTAGCTACACTGAAATTAGAGAAGGTGCACTGGTGTACATTTAGGGTAATTAAGAGGATAACTTGATCCTTCATGAATTATATTTTTATCTGCAGGAGATTACTAATGTTCATAACATTATCACAGTGTCACTGAACCCATGTCTTTTTTCAGGTGCTAGATCACGGAGTCACAAGACTAGATAACATTATCAAAATAATTCAAGGAGAAGCTAATTCTTCATTCTGAGAGTGGTGAAACACTGAACAGGTTGCCCAGAGAAGCTGTGGATGCCCCATCCCTGGAAGTGTTCAAGGCCAGGTTGGATGGGGCTTTGAGCAATCTGGTCTGGTGGAAGGTGTCTCTGCCCATGGCGATCTTTAAGGTCCCTTCTAACCCAAACCATTCTATGATTCTACAATTCTAATTATCTAGCTCCCAATTGTACAGAAAAGCTTAAAAAATGTCAAGACAACTGAAAAAGTAAAACAGAAAGCCCAAAGAGGAACATATACTCACAATTTTTTTATGTGTGTGTGTATATATATATGAATATAAGTGTATACGTATAAAATTAAACATCTCAGAGCTTTTTCAAGCAGTCTCAGAGACTGTAGACTCATGAGTTTAAATGCTTAAATATGGCAGTATTATATACAACAGTTCATAACAAGACTAAATTTCAGATTACATTGCATTTTGTCTGTGAACTCTTGTCCTCCCACCTTCTACTCAACCCAAAACACAAAAGAAGGATTCCAGTCATCATGAAAACCAGCCTAGCTGGGCTCTCACACACCTTCCCTGCACAATTGGGATACACAGGTTTGTTCCCTCTGAAAGGAAAACAAACAAAAAACATACTACTTTTTTTTTAATTCAAACAGTACTCAACATTTTTTTACTGCCAGAGGGCCAATGGATGCGATCTGCAAAGACTTCACAGGACGACTCTTGCCAAACTCAACTTCTGGACCTACAACAACAGCTATTGCATGATCTACATCTACATGTCTGGGTCTACCAACAGGAAATTGCTATAAAATCACAGCCATTTCAGTAAAAGCAATAAGTTATCCGCAAATGGGGAATGCTGCTCTTTGTATCCTGACTCAGCATTCAGTCTTTCTTTTATAAAGAAAATTACTACCATTACTGATGTCCTGGGAAAAAAAATCAAGATAAAAAATAAAACATTTATCTCTAGAGAGGTAGGAAATTTTGAAGGAAATTGAGCCTGATGTGTTTAAAAATGGATACATGGCTTTCTCAAGTGACTTTTCTAAGGATGAAATTCTGCTTTTTCTGATCCCACTGCAATACACACTTTTCACTGAATCATGCTGTGGTATTTTTAGTACCTTTATTCGGAAATCTAAAATATAGAGCACAATTAAGGACTCGTGAGCCATCTGTGATTACTCATGACAAAGCCTTCATTCATATACCAGTCCTTAATTGAATAAATATGCAAGTATTCAGATTCCTGTTGATATTTCTATTTTGTAAATTCGTTAAAGAATTAGAAGTTCACCAAGGCATGCCAGTCATATAATCTATGAAGGGCTGACTCATACTTTTGCTTAAGAAGTGATTCAAATTGAAATTTTACATGTAGCAAGAGTAAAAAAATGTTTTAAGGGCTGCAGTGACGCTGAATACTCAGCCTGTGTATATTCAAATGGTACAAATTATTAAGGAGGAATATAAGTCAGTTTTGTGAGCAATGTAATTAAAAAAGAGTTAAGAAAAAGAAACTGGTATGTTTTTTATATATTGTGTCATTTTACTGTTACATTTTTGTATTTAAGATATCAATATTTTTTATTGTACTTCTGAACATTTATTCTCATGAAGTTACAATACAATTGGCTTAAATTTCCAGAAAATTCCACAGCTTTTTTGTATCCCCATGTAAGATTTCTGAGCTGTAAGAGAAGAACTGTTTTTTGAAGACTAAATCCCCAACTTTTCTGGCATGGTGGGGGTGGAGGTGGAAATAGGCCCAGAGATAGAAGTTAAGCTGGACATTCAAAATGTAAGGTCATCTGCTTATTGTTGTTGTTATATTAAGAGATTTTATTACATATGGTATATTTTTATATAATATATATAGTATTTAAAATACTACAAAATTTACCAAACAAATAATGTTATTATTCTTGCACAATAACAATTATGAAACTATTGGATCCCATCTATCTGTATGTACTCCAGAAACAGAAATGATCAACCCTATTGGCGGAATTTTTTTTATGAAAAAAAAAAGAAGAAAAAAAAAACAAACCCAAAAAACTCGTGCTCATGAAAACTGTATCATGTGAATTAACTTTCTTCCTCATAAAGAAATCCCTGACCTCTGTCTCATGTTCTTGGGTCATTAAGCAAAGAGCTCTCAAAGCCAAGTTCACCATTGTGACAAAGATCATGAGTTTCTCATTGGCGTGAGACTTGGATCCAAATGAAATGTTTCTGTGGACAACCAGTTGGACAGTAATTTGACAGAAGGTAGAGAAAAAAGTAAATTAAATCAATAGTAGCCCCCCACCCCCGTCCCTTTTAATGAGGCAATGCAAGTTTTTAGCCACTGTTTCCTGTGTTTCTCTTAAAAGCAGAGCTGACAAGACAGTATGAACATACCTAACTGACTTGACAGCTGCCATCAGATCCATACTGCAGGTTAATAAAAACCAAGTGCTCTCAAAGACTTAGGAGAAGTCAGTTGCCTTAAGATCTATCTCACCAGAAAGAGCTACAGGATAATTCTGAAACTCAGGCAGTGAAATGTTTTGACAGTATAAGAAAGAAACCTTGAAACAGTTTGCATCTTCACTGCTGTTCACAGAAAAGTTTGGAATTTTCTTATCAACATTATTCCTGAGCTCCAGGTAATGGCATGAGAACTGCAAACTTGTTAAAGACTTATGATCGTCTACACAATCCATTCAACGTTCAATCCACTTCCCATTTTGAAACCACAGCCTTTAAAGTTACTGGTTTGACTCGGTTATGGAGGAAGATGACAAGGAAGAGGAAAAAGAAAAAAAAAAAATCTGAGAAGTTTTCTAGAGGGCAAGGAAAAAAAAATTATGTCCAGCAGGCCACAGGTTACGCACATTTGTTCTTTTTTGAGTAAAAACTTAACGCTGCAGTACTATTTAAATCTGGGTACTCTACAGGTTAAATCCAGGAAGCAAGTGGCCTCGTGCGCAGCAGTGTGAGCAGAGCATTGCTGCTAGATCTGAGTCCATGAGCAGTCCGAAATGGCACGCTTCAAAACCAGGGAACTGCCTGAGCCACCTGGTGTGGAGCAAACTCGGCTGCTTTGACACTAATAAAAAGCACATGACAAGGTCAAGGGATGCCCATGTACACCGGAAAAGCCTTCTTCCTTATCTTAAATGAAGCAGTTCAAAACACTGATATCCTGTCTTAAAAACAATCTGCTCTCTAGTAAGACCATACACCTGCAGTTGCGAGACAAGTGTTTTTGCAGCCATTCTTCTGCTTTCCGTGGAAGAACCAGCGATGACTGTCAATGCGGAGATCAGAAAATGACATGCCGATTCAGAGGCACACTTAAGTCCTGCACGCACACATTAACACGTAGATATGCTACTCCTTAATAATTTTGAGTTAACAAATGTTTGTTAAAAGAAAATGCACTGAGAAACTGAAACCTAATTTGAAAAGAGAATACAATATTCCCACAAATGTATGCATGAAAGCCAAGAAGCTGCATAATAGGCATAGAAACCACAAAAATATGCAATTTACATATATTACACACTAATAGTCTCCATTCTGACATTATATTTAAAGAGCTCTGGCTGAGATGGCATGCTTGCAGTTTGGTTGCTCTTTTATGAAATACAAACAAGGACACTCCTGGTTACTAGTTCCCAAAAACATTAAACCCTGTCTCATTCCTGCAAAAGCCAACCCTTCGCAGGTCTGTAAGACAGAGGTTCTCACCACAGCCAGATAGCAACAAGTAAACCAGACGAATACGGAGAATAATCAGTCATCTGGAAGAGATCTGCAGATCTTGTCTTGATGTTAAAAAGTGCTGAGTAGTATTAATAAGGTGGGACTCTTTCTATTGTGCTATTCTTTTAAACGAGCAACAACATTTTATTTCCCAGCCAGAAAGACAAGTATGTTATGGAGCATTCTGTTTCCTAAAACTGACTAAATATACAGTCTTCTCTAACTTCCAACTTAAAAACGATAAAAAAAAAAAATTACAGCACCATAGCCATCTCCCCTTGTCCTCTGCCTTCACTCACTTCTTGCCTGAAACAACATATTTGTCCATCATACTCAAGAATAAAGTTAGAAAGGAAACATCCTGCATGGAAAAGAAAGTCTCCCCGGGGGTCTGCATGTCAGACCCTCATTTGGAATAAATTGAAGTCGAAGGGAAAAAGGGAGTTTAAGTCTGGTAAAAACTCGATCTCGTGAATCTTAATATTAGATTTTGTTCTGCACGTTCTGAGGGTTGTTTGTTTTGGTTTTTTTTAAATCACAAAAGCTTATTTGGGCTTCAGACAAAGCCAGCCAGTCCCCCCACCCCCCGCTAAAGTCACCATAAATTCAGCTTTACACACAGCATGTCCAGAGCATTTGCCTGAGAGGACGTTGATGGGTGGAAACATTATGTTAATTGTTCACACACCCAGATTTATTGTGGTCAAAAATCCACGGGCGAGTAAAAAGACCTTCTTTCCTTCTCATCTAAATTCCACACAC